AAACTACCAAAATACCAAACTACCAAAGCACTAATCAAATTAATTTCAATCTCACAACCACAGTCTTCGCTAAACATTAGAACCTAAATAATCACTTCTCTTCCACGAAACAAACCAAAACTTTATAATACACCAACTACAACAGAAATTCTACCAACACCCTCAAGTCCATATTTCCCTCTTTAAAAAGTCCCTGACACAGGCTCGCGAAAGCCTCCCCAGAAAAACCAGGTAATCACGTAAACGTCCTCAATCTAATTATAAAACTCTTACATGGAAGTCGCTCAGGTCAGCCGTTAGAAGCGTGTCGCGTGCGTGCCCGACACGTTCCGTGACCAACATCTTCGTCTCGATGCCCGCGATGGTCATCAACGGCTGCACGTCTTTCTCCCAAATCTTCGGACCTTTCTTCTTCCCGCCGAAAGGGTTGACGAACAACAGAATCTTTCTGGGTCGGTGCGTCAGACCTAGAAACGACATCCGTAATCCTCGTATTCCGATTTTTCACGCGCGCACACACATACTCAGGCACCCACGCACGCACGCACGCATGTCAAAGCATCCTTGCTCTATTGATTTTTCGCAGGGAACGGAATTCCACGGCTTTTTCCTCGAAACCGTAACTGCAGGCGAGAGCGAACCTAGATCAATACTGCAGCCACTCGTTCTCCCAAGAGGCCAGTTTTCAAGGAGATTGCGTTACGCGCGCGACAAAGAACCAGGCCCGATTGTGTTTCCGTTCGACAACGTTTCCCCCGGAGCGAAAGTAATTGAACCGATGGGCTGTTTAGATTGATTAGAGCGGACGATAACGCCGTTTAATGGCCTCCCGGTACGTACCGAGCTGTCCTTCTACTTTTAAGATGCCTCGAGAGTTTGTACGCTTCTCGCTGATACCGTGGCATCGATTTTTTGAGGTTCTAGGGGATGTTCACTGGTAGGTTGTTGGATCTTCTGAGATTTTTCGAGGTTGATTCTATTTTTTTGACGCTTTGTTGACGGTTGTGTGGAGTCCGGGACATGAACTTTGCGGATTTTTGGGAATTTTGGGAATTATTGATAAGAATCTTGGTTTATAGACTCGTTTCTCGTGATTTTGGAAGATAGGAGGGTAAGTTGCGATTGATTAGCTTCTGAAATGTTTAGGAATTGCGGAGGCTATAGTAGCTTCTATGTAGACATATTGGTTGTAGACAGGAAACGTGACCTAGATAATTAGAATTTTGTTTTATTTGAAACACAGAGAATTTCGATCTTTAGATCTGTGAATTTTGCAAAGTTTAGTGTGAGTTTTTATTATTTAGCTTCTGAATTTTTCAGAGACTCGCGAAGCATTTAGATTTGTAGAGTTTTAACATTTCTGGAGGCCCAGTAGCTCCGAATGCTCCGCGTTTCCACCAATTTTCCATGATCGGCATACTTTTCCGTTGCAGATGAAACGGGCCTTTCTACTCGAACCGCGTGACACGGCGTCGCTGACCTACGGTGAAAGTGTCTCCGGCGACTGCTAATTCGCTCTCGATCTACATATGCGTCTACATATCTAATTAACTAGCTTGTCTATCTTCGATTTTACTTGAAACAGAAATGTTTACGTATTTTCTTGTTCTTGGAATTAACCGAGACTTGAATTGCAACTTCGAACTTTCTTAAAAATATTATCTGCCTTTTTTAACTGTTACATGAAAGTTGCGTATCAAGAGGTTTATCCTATCAAAGAAATATCGTTACTATTATTATAATAACGAACCCGTTAGACCTTTCAAGCCCTTTGCACAGGAAAAAATGAGAAACAACGATAATGTCATACGAAAATCTGCAGTTTTCACATTTCTAAACAATCCTTCGACAAATGTCGCACTCTTACATAATTCCTGATTGAAAAAAAGATTGTAAAAACGATTGTCCAAGCAAGAAACGGATAAGACAAACCTTCGTTCGATCTGAACATGAATTATTCATCGAAAAAATCCTCCGCGAATGCAAAAACGGACAGATAACCCTGGAAGCTGATATTTTTTGACAATCCCACGATAATGCTCGAGTAAACAAGAGTTCGTCCAGTTTGCCAAGCCTTTGTGCCCGGGGGCGGATTGTTTGAAGTATCGACCGTGACCTTGGCTCCCGGCACTCGAATCACGTGGAATCGATCGGCGAAACCGGTTCGCTCGAGATTGTTTTATCATTCGGACGATTCTACGCCGGCGAATCGTTTAGAAGAGAGTGAGCAAAAAAATAAAAGGAGAGAGAAAGAAATCCGACGCGACGGACGGTTATCCTGTTGTCGTTCGGATGAACAGGTAGTTTTATTCCTGGTGATGCGCGCCTCTCCGCTAAATAGTCGTTAAAATTCCTCGGATGCTTCGCGATCTAACGTTCTCGAAATACTGCGTCGTGAATTTTCTTTTTTTCTCTTTTTTTCATCGCAGGCACGAAAACTCGCTGCGATAAATTCCAGCGTTGACGCCTGGTCGCCGATAAAATGCATCGAGGAATTTCGGAATGAAAATATTTAACAATTATCGCGTGGGGTCTCGCCGTTCCTCGTGAATAAAAGATGCCCGGGTCCCGTGGATTTTATAACGACGATCGAAATCGCCGTAACCGATTGCGTATGAATCTCATTGTGTTTTATCGCTGATTGGTGCCGCTCGTGCTCGCGATTTTATTGCACTCCCGGTGAGACTCGATACTCGACGTTGTACTTTTCAAGGATTTACATTTCAATCGGGACGAATACGCGCAGATTTATGGGACACGCTTATTACAAAGGTGAATTCGTTTTAGAGAATCGGAGAGCAGCGTTCTAATGAAATTCAAGGTCCAACGATACAATTTTGTGTTAGGTCAAGTGCTTATTGAGTCAGCCCGGCGTTAGGCACGTCATATGCGATACAATTTAATCTGGGTTACGCCCAAATCAGATATCTGTTAGGGCAGGGTCAGATCTAGATCGAGATGAACGTACACCCGAGTTGGGGCTAGTAGGTGTGCTCGGCTGGAATATAACCTCTGCATTCGCAAAATTCCAAATATTCAGAGTAGAACAATTTCGCGTAATCTTTACGTAACAGTTATAAATCGGTAGGTAACGTTCCTAAGAAAGTTCAAACATTCTAATTTCGTCGCGAACATAAAACTTATTAGAAACATAACCTCGAATTCCAGTCATTTTAACCCTTTGACGAAGATTCTTCGAAGTACAAAACCTTCAGCAGATTAGGCGAAATTATATCTAGTATGCTTAAACAGTAGAGAAAAAGGAAACTATGCACTGATCCCTTGCTGTTTGAGTTATTAAATCATTCTCTTGACTCAGTATTCGAAATATGAGAGTTTGATCTCGAAAACGTCAACATCTGCAAAGGGTTAATATGTCAATTTCGACGTTTATCAATATTTTAGAATACTGACTCATCAATGCATCACTATCTTAAAACACCAAGTTCAATATACCAATATTGAACATGTCCCTAAACTAATATTAACAACTTATTAACCGTCTCTCGTAAAAACGTGCTCACAAAGAATCCCCGAAAAAACCCGCAGAAAAACGTGAGCGAAAAGTCTCGTTAAATATCCCGAACCTGATTTTCATTTCAAATGTTTGAACCATGACACTCGAGCGCAGTTGACTTTGCATAATACATGAACGGTGCCCAGTTAACGCGTAATCTGTCTTATCATCATTTTTCCCGGAATTTCCATCGGCCCTGACGAAAGCGGCCGAAGAATGCCGGTGTGTTCAAAGGCGCCAGACCGAAATAGCTCCTTATTTGGCCAACAAAAACTGCACGTGTGCAACGCGGCACACGGCCGAGTGGTTACGTGCCCCTTTTTCTCTCGTCGGCTACCCCCTTGAATGAGGATGACGTAAAAGTCGCTCGCCTCGGGCGCGAAACGGCAGTCTCTTGTCGCGGCGCGCAGCGGCCGTTTCCTGGATAAAATTCAATAACTTGAAGAGCACGAGCGATGCAAACAAATGCTTCAGACGAAAATTCTAAGGCATAGAGCCGAATGTACGATGGTTTTATTTTTGTTCACACTGTGGAGATATTATGCAGTTTTCTCAATGATAATGGATATCTTGCGTTACGATTCCAACGTTGTATAAATTGAGAAACGGGATTTGTTTGCAGAAAATTTGTATTTTTCGAATGAAGATCATTCAGTATAGCAAGGACTACTTAGCGACATTGGTAATCTTCAATTTTCATTACGCGAATAATCGAATTTGGGAGTTTTGTCCACAATCAGCCGCACAATGCGGCAAAAAAAAGACGATCAAAGACGAAAAAATTGCTCAAAGCAGAAAAGTTCCGGAATGTTCGAGCATAAATACCTAATAAATCCTTCGAGGTGTGCCATCGGTGGCCTCGACGCGCAGGTTTCGTTCCGTGGATTCTCCCAGTGCCTGGCTGTAATGCTTTTCCATGATAAAAGCGACTGTCAAAGCGATAACATGGTAACGAACTGCCTTTAATAATTCCGAGCTCGACGGAACTACTTTTTGAATATTTTTAGCGACCGCTGCTATCGCTATTAACATTGATATTACTTCGTTGTTCGCTCGAACACGCGAACACAAGCAGTTGCGCGTTCCTGTGTTACCGGTTTATTTATTTATTTATTTATTTATGGGAAAACGTGACGGTTTTAATTTAAACGAAATCGCGAACGTTCCGCTTGTAACGACTCGCCTTAAGCGAATCAATTTTATCGGAATGGAAGTGATTAAAGCGGAAACGCTTGGTACGAATGAAATTTCAATGTAACGCAGGAATCCGATGCACGCGAAATAATGAATAATGTGAAATTGTACGAGGTAACGTCGATCGAAGCGAACATCAAAGGTCTGAAATGATTTTTCGTTGCTTTCAACATTTTCAGAAATTACCCGAAGTTCCCACCGACGAGAGTTCGTTCGCGAAATCCAATTACATTTCAGAATAATCGCGGATGTTGCAATCATGGACGTACTTTAATTATCGAGACCTTGCGCACCGAGAGAACCGCTCGAGTAGCTCGAATGGCCTCAGTTGCAGCTGAAACTCTCTTGTTTCTCAATTCTTTGTATTTTTTTTTTAC